ACCAGCTGCCCGCTCAGATGGGCTCTCTGCTGGGCTCCCGTCTGGCTCTGCAGTACCTGGACTGTGTTCAGGATGAGTCTGCTCTGCTACGCCTCAACTTCTGGCTCGGCTACGCTCTCCACGAAGGTAAGGGGGAGCGGGGATGTGGGAGGGCGGGCTGGGGTTAGCGAGCAACTACCAGACTTGTTGGGACGTCTTCTCTCAGGAAGATTCGTCCAAAGCCAAGCTAACCTCGAGTTGAACCAAAACGCATTACCTAGATGACAAAAGGATTCTGTCAGAGGGTGGTTTAAAAGAGTTTAAACAGAGACTGGGGTGCTTTACGAAGTGAATGCACGTCAAGTATGTATTCCTCTGATGTTTATTTCAATCCCCTTGTCTTTTTCCATACTAAAAACTAGGGATGCTCCGATGGGCCGCCGATCGATATCGGCCGATATTCACTCTCTGCCGATCGATCAGTGCTCTATATAAAGGCCGATTGTGAGAGCCGATCACATGACGTAAAATACATGACACTTTTCTCTGTGCGCGGCAAAACAAGCCAAAATGGCTTCACCGGTCTGGCAGTATTTTAAGGTGTCCGAAAATGACAATAAAATAGCGGTATGCAACGTGTGTGAAGCAGAAATCCTGCAGCTCCACCCGCTGTGACGGAGCGGTGAGCGGAGCAAAACACACACTAAGAGTTAGACCTAACACGCATTGCTATTTTATCTACCTCTTGAACTAGCTAAACTAGTTATAAATATATTAATTCTTCACTGTCGGGTCACTCATTACTGGATCAGTGAGCTGTGTGAGTTACTGACAGGCTGTCAGGAGAGAGAGAGAGGAAAAGAGAGAGAGGCTCCCGTCATTTCTCCTGTGTTATTATCCAAAGTTAATGTAAACTTGAATAATGTACTTCATTTGAATGTAATAATTATGTTGGTTGTTGTTTGTGGAAGCGCCAGTGAATGAGCCCCATTAACTGAGCCCAATTAACTTGGGTTTTAAACATCACTTTAAATGTAAGATCCCCATAGGCCCCGCCCACTCGATCGGATCGGCCGATACTGATTCCGGTGATCGGCTCCAAAATTGGCGATCGAGCATCCCTACTAAAAACACTTTATCTTGCTGTCTTTGTTTAGAATTTTTGTTCTGTGGCGATGGAGCCTCCCAGAATTCAGAAGAATCTATGCAGTTTTTGGACAAGTTGCTGTTCACAGAACACTTTCTCCAGGTGAGTCTCACATTTTAGGGCCTGATAGTTACCCCACACCTGTCATTCAATATTCATTATCCTGCACCCTCATGAAGCTGACGCTGCACTGTAAAACATCAAGCAATGATTTCACAATGTTTCACCGTCACATTTCCACCAGGAGGGGTTTTCCAGTTCCGAGGCTTTTCTCTACAAATTTCTCAATGTTTGGGATGGTTCCCTCCTCCGCCCACAGATCCTCGGCCTACTAAGCAACATTCCGGTTGTTCCAAGTTCTCGTGAGTTTTCCATGTGATCTTCTTCACATTATTGCCTGGTTTCCACACTGTTTTGTTGTCCCTAATTATGTTTAGAATACAGAGTCCATGAACTAGTGTTCAATGCAAGGAAGTTGGATAATGGAAACCTTAGTGCAGTGCAGCATACTTACCTAGCTATGTGAAAATGAAGTGTTGGTGAACTATTCTGTGTCTAATGTCAAAACACAATCCTGCATTGCCCTCCACTTGAATAAAAGATTCTACGTTGGCAAGGCCATGATATTTGTGCCATTTCTTAGGAATTGCATTGAGTTATAGCAGCTGGTACAACTGTAACCTTGTATCTCCCTGTTTCAGAAATGGGACGGCTTCTGTTCGAGCCCCTCAAGCAGCTCTTCTTCACATCATCCGTGTTTTTCAAGGTGGGTTTTCCTCCCTGAGGCACAACAAGTGTATACTCCTGCTACTGTGCTAGAAATATCTAAGCCTGTAAATCAAATGGAAAAGACACTGTTTGTCTTGTATTTTTCATGATGGGTCCTTTATTAGCCTGTGGTAAAACAACTGTAAGCTTAATGCTGTTCCTCTCCATGTGTGTGCAGTGTGGACTGATCGAGTGTTTGAACAACATGCTGTTGAAGTGGCTGATCTGGCACTCGGTGTACGCTCTGGAAGACGACTTGGACATCAGCCTCAACAGCCACACCTCCATGTGAGTCTCATATCTACTTCCCGCTTCTTATTTATGCCCCGAGCATAAACAAGTAATAGACATAAAACACTTTGTGTATTTACTTCAGAGCATTAGGGTTATAGCTTGTTTAGCCTCTACTGGAGAGCCAAGAAATGCATTATCACACCTAATCCGTCCTCACAGATGCTATACAACTATTGAGGTTAGTTTTATTTACTGTGGTTTAGTGTAATAAAAGCAAAACACTCCTTTTTGTAGGTGTTCAGGTTTATGTACCCATTTTTGTCTAGACAAGCATTATGTCACATTTTCTACTCTACCAGATAAAATCACGACTGAAACTATGGCTGTGCGATCATGGCAAAAATCATAATATCGATTATTTTGGTCAATAATTGATATCACGATTATTAAAAACGATTATCCATTTATTGAAAAAGAAATGTGAACAGTATGTTTTTAACAGTTGATTACCCTGAACTTTAAGTATAATTCAACTAAAAAAACAATAAAAAGAAACAATTAAAAAAATAATCGTTTTATTTAGATTACGTTGTTTTCATAATCGTTGCAAGCCAAAATCGTAATCGAGATTAAAATACGATTAATTGCACAGCCCTTCTGCCATTTCCAAACTCACCTCTGGTATTTTGCCAGAGTACGACTCACTGATTAGAGGTAGGAATAATTAATGGTGTATATCCGAACACTTTCCCAACATCACTCTTGATTCAGTGTGTCCTTTGTATTGTAATACTTGATTTGGGAGCTTTCTCCTGTTCTCACAGAGAACTGAGTCACTGATTAAATGTAAGTGTAGAGTTCCAAGGGTAAATCAGCTGACTGCCAGCACAGCTTTCACTTCATTCTGCTCAAATTGCATGTCTGACTCTCTGCTCTGCCCTCTGTCACAGCAACATGACTCTGTCGGGGTTCAAGGATTCAGTGATGGAGCTCGTTGACTTTGTGGGTCGGCTTGCCTCTATTGGCCTGCAGCTAGAAGGATGCCACTCTCTCCTCCTCAGCTTCATCCTCGACTTCTATACCATGGTACATGAACAGATGCTGATGCTTTTACCTGCGGTGTGCCTTTTTTAAAGCCACAATGCAACCGGTGTTTGTGCTTAAGTGGTACCATTTTAAAACTAGGATGTTTGAGTTTCACTGTCCAGAAAGATGTATATGCAGAGTTTGACACGAGATGCCCGTTTTCACGTGAACCTGTTTAAGGGGCAGAGATGTTGCAGGGGAATAAACTGTAGTTCCTGCTTTATGTGCAACACCAACATAGCAATCATTTGGAAAAAGGATGCCAAGAGTGTGTTTTTAAACTATATTTCTCTCCTCCCCCAGGTGTGTGACACGTTTCTGAAGTATGGGCTCCCCCTTGTGATGATGCCCCCACCTGGAGTTTTTTACCCAGCGCTGTTTGCTACTGACCCCGTTAGCGTGGACAGACTGGCCTTCATCATGTACAGGTGGAGACTCTTTCACACACAGTTCCCGGTTCATTACTACGATAACTTCTTACGCACCTCCTAATAATTCTCCCTATTCAGACATTCACCACATACAGGAAAATGTTTTGTTACACATGCTATAAAAAGGTTAGAATAGATTGTGCAGCATATGGTGGCCAACTGCCATAAAATCCAAATCGTTTTTGTTTCGTGAATAACGAAATTGAAACCCGAATAGTACTCCAACGAACGGATATTCTGATTTTTGAATATTCGGGTACAGCCCTACTGTCAAACGGTCATAACCCCTTCAAAGCCTGTTCCTTTAATCTCACAGATGTATCAGTGTTATCCCTGAAGTGTTATTTGGCCTTGAGATTGGAAATTGGTTGTACAGATTCCCTAAACATCAATTCCCTCTCCCATTCAACCATGACCCCTCGCAGCAAATGTTCCTGAACATTTCAGGGATTGACTCCATATGCTAAAGAGACTTCCGCTACAACTTGCCCCGAAGCATACACTAGCAACCCCCTTAATATAGTATGGCATATGTTGATGCATGTTTTATGACGGAAAAGACCTGGAATCAAATGGATAAATTGTACGTATATCTTCATGCATGATTTATGATAACGAGAGTCTAAGAAGCAATGCACTTACGCCCTCTTCTCCCTTTTTATGTAGAACTCAAGCACCATTTGTAACTTCAGGCTTTAATAACACAAATCCTTACAGTGTCGGTTAATTGACTACACTCCAGGGCGGCTTCAGTAATTCTGTCAAAGCTGAGCGAAAAAATGCCATGGCAAAGTACAATTGGAGTATAATTGTATTTTCTATATTTTGACAGCCTATTGAGAACAAACTGTGTTGCATTAATATTCACAGAGGTCACTGGTTTTTCATGATTCTGTTTTTTTTGTTCAGGTACAAGGTGAACTTGACATCAGCCAAGAGTCAAGAAAATCTCACAGAGGTAAGAAAAACCTCCTATCTTCTTGCAATGTATGTCTGAAAATGAAACATGATGTGGTTTGTGGTACAGCAAGTTTTGGTCCATTGGACAATTTAGTCCTGAAGAAAAGCAGCACTTTGGTTGTATGGAAATATTTCGGGTTTAGGACGACAGATGTGCGGCAAAAGCAGGTGTTGAGCACGAACTGTCGTGGAAAAGTCGCTACATCCCGAGAAAACACCACAAACCTGTATCAGCTCTATGACGAGTGTACGGTCAGAAACGATGTGTTAAGTGAAAGTCCCGTAGCCCAGTCTAACGTTAGTCGTTTGCGGCTTTTACGCCGTATGAAAAGGTTTCACGAAGGCACCGTGAGATAACCAATTCCATAACGCACTACCTGTTTTAATGCATGTAAAGGTATTTTTATGTGTTTCTGTTGCACTTTGTCCTGGTCCACACTAGGACTGCACGATTTTGGGAAAAAATGTAATTGCGATTTTTCTGACAGATTTTGCGATTCGATTTGCGATATTTGTTTTTAAGCGACCCAACGGCAGTTTATTGTAAAATGCGGCCATATCTCCGGCTAGGAAGGTCGTATCAACGTGCTCCCGTCTCTAGCACCCCCGCAGCCCGAGCTACAAGTGAAAGAACTAAACTTACATGAAACTTTCCCGTTGGGTTGCTTTAAAGTCAAGCTTCAGTTTAAGATTCACCCTGTAATAGATGTAGAACATGTGATGGAGCATTACTAACCTGACTCAGACGGTTTGTTTCACCAAACCATCTAGGAACGCTCCATTGGAAGCCATTTGGAAAGGGCAGGCACTTTCAAAAATACTTGGCAGGTGATTGGATCAATCTGTCTATCACCTTCTTATCATGGGCCACTTCTGATTGGTTAACAATGGCTGGTACATGTGGAGCACAGCACTTCTGATTGGTGTGGATGACTGACAAGCAAGAAGAGAAAAAAAAAGAATTGAAAAAAAAAATGNGCACTAAAGCGAAAAGAGTGCTACGGCACTTCGGCACCCATAAATCACGGTAGTAGATTATGTTATTTACTTTATCGGATCTGCTCAAATAGGATATCATATGAAAAGCTGGTGAGATTCCAACAGATTCCAATGTTATAGTATCATCACTGTGCGACCGAGACTCGCGGCAGCAAAAGCCAGCAAAGACAACCACCAATTCACTTTATGGAGCAAAACGGCTAATACGTCTTTTAACCTTTTGCTGTTTTCTGATCAAAAGTTGTGTTCAATGGCATTAATTAAAACGATAAAAAAACGCTGCTGAAGGTTAAATCAATGTCTCTGTCTCACTTTGCAATGATTACTGATAATCCATCATCATATGTACAGTGGGGAAAAAAAGTATTTAGTCAGCCACCAATTGTGCAAGTTTCTCCACTTAAAAAGATGAGAGAGGCCTGTAATTTTCACCTAGGTGATACCTCAACTATGGAGAGACAAAATGAGAGAAAAAAAAATCCAGAAAACCCACATCGTCTGATTTTAAAGAATTTATTTGCAAAATATGGTGGGAAAATAAGTATTTGGTCAATAACAAAAGTTATCTCAATTACTTTGTTATATACCCTTGTTGGCAATGACAGAGGTCAAACGTTTTCTCTGTAAGTCTTCACAAGGTTTTCACACACTGTGCTGGCATTTTGGCCCATTCCTCCAGCATGTACTAACTTAAGCAGGGGGGACACGTCTGGCACGGCAGGATTGGTCCCTGGCGCGTAGTGTGTTACTGATGGTTAGCCTTTGGTTACTTTGGTCCAGCTCTCTGCAGGTCATTGACTAGGTCCCCCCGTGTTGGTTCTGTGATTTTTGCTCACCGTTCTTGTGCATCATTTTGACCCACGGGGTGAGATCTTGCGTGGAGCCCCAGATCGAGGGAGATTATCAGTGGTGTTGTATGTCTTCCATTTTCTAATAATTGCTCCCACAGTTGATTTCTTCACACCAAGCTGCTTACCTATTGCAGATTCAGTCTTCCCAGCCTGGTGCAGGTCTACAATTTTGTTTCTGGTGTCCTTTGACAGCTCTTTGGTCTTGGCCATAGTGGAGTTTGGAGTATGACTGTTTGAGATTGTGGACAGGTGTCTTTTATACTGATAACGAGTTCAAACAGGTGACATTAATACAGTTAACAAGTGGAGGACAGAGGAGGCTCATAAAGAAGAAGTTACAGGTCTGTGAGAGCCAGAAATCTTGTTTGTTTGTAGGGGACCAAATACTTATTTTCCACCATAATTTGCAAATAAATTCTTTAAAAATCAGACAATGTGATTTTCTGGATTTTTTTCTTCTCATTTTGTCTCTCTTAGTTGAGGTATACCTAGCATGAAAATTACAGGCCTCTCTCATATTTTTAAGTGGGAGAACTTGCAAAATTGGTGGCTGACTAAATACTTTTTTGCCCCACTGTATGTCAATAAACTGAGTTTTCATATAGAGTGTATGAGAGCTGTAACCCAGCTTCCTGTTTTGGTTGTGCTGGCTGCGCATCACTCTCATTCACCAATGGTAATGTTTAGATGGATTTAGGATCTTCCCCTCGATTCTATTGGCTCTAACGGTTAAAAATAGGTGTCAATCACCAAAATCGGCCATGGGTTCCAGAGATATGGCAAATACACCCAAATTCTTTTTTCTAAATCTCTCTAAAAAGGTCCAATGTCACTTGTTTTGCATCAATCTTGATACAGGGTACTTATTATATGTTGTAGTTTGGATTCCTAAAGCTTTTAGTCTGCTATCCCATCATTCAAGGGTGGTTTTCACTATAAGTAATGTTTTTATAATTTTTTACTATGTTCAATATGAATTTACTTTAACATAAAAACATCTATATTGATTCTGACTCTTCTACACCCAACTCACAGGTTTATCATTGCTTTGAGAAAAAATATTATGAATTTACCCCTTTTTAGAAGTGAAGATATAGTCATTTGTTCTGGGAATGTCATTTTCGAGCCTGAAATCTGAAAAACAGGCTCAGGGCTTAACAGGTTAACAGAGGTTGCTTTGATCATAGAAAGCATCAGATGTCTCGGTTGTGACTGTGTCTTTTTCTGTTTCAGCATTCCAAGCCATGGAGCTGGTACCTGGAGTATTTGTTCAGCCAGGGTTATGACGGCCTTAAACTCTTTGTTCAGAGCAACATCAGGGCAGGGCAGGGCAACGGGCAGGGCAATGGCCAGGGCCAGGGCAACGGCCAGCACAACGGCCAGGGCAACGGCCAGGGCAACGGCCAGGGCAACGGCCAGCACAACGGCCAGGACAACGGCAACGGGCAGGGCAACGGGCAGGGCGACGGGCAGGGCAACGGGCAGGGCGACGGCGACGGCCTGTCCACATAGCAGAGGAAGATACTCAACTCAAAGGAGAGGAAGAACAACCACTCGCAACTTACCCATATTTTTTAAAAGACTTGTAAATATAATCTTCTCTTCAAACAAGCTACTTCTGGCAAAGTGTTTATGTACATATATGTATCTGTGTTTGTTTTGTATTTTTACTGACAATGCTGTCCAGTTGGTAATAATAGACTACAAAGCCCTGGCGGCCATTAGCCAGATGATGTGTCAGTACTAGGTTTGAAGTCAGTGTATACACATTAAACATGGAAGATGGTATGTTTGTTGCAAATAATATAACCTGAAAGGTTGGATCATTGGTAATATTCATATCCATAAATATCCACACTTTATGAAACTAGACAACTGGTGCATCTACATGAAGACAAGATGCTAAAGAGTAACACGACTTTAAATTATTATTTTTCCATTTTCTTTCTTCGTGTTACAAACAGTCATTCTTTGTTCAATGTCGGCACTGATCTTTAACCAGCAAAGGATTATTGTTTTAGCTTGTTTTTTTATATTTTATTCTTGTACAGCTTGTCGTGTGCTAAACCTGACTCTTGCACCTTGTTGAAAATAAACAAGTGTAATACTTTTACTTTAGAAGCTAATAAAATCTGTTGTCTCTTAACATTAATATTGCAGCATTTCACAGTTTACAAATGTCTTGGTCTTGTGTCCTCATGTAAAACCTAAATTGTTGCTCTTTTGAAAGGCATCAGTTGCTTGAGTGTGTGTAACATAGGTAAGTATTCTTATGTATTCTTCGGTCAGACGCGCTGCCACCTGGAAACAGCATTTTGTTTTAATTAAGAAACCCACCTGGATGGTTAAAGGTTCCTCGGCTACTTGCGATAACTCTGATTTGAAATCAGTTTGCCAGGTACACAAAGTGATTTGCAATGTGGCAAAAATAAAAAACAAAAGTCACTAAAGGTCTGCAACCAATCAATACCTCCGTTAATCCACTATCTATTAGTTTTTTGATTAATTAATTGATGTGTTTATGTTATGTAAGAAAGTGACATTTAATATATTTTTTAAAGAGCCCATAGTTACATCTTTAAATGTTGGTTTCATTCAAGCAACCCACCTTCAAGCTATTTCAGATGATTCCATTCCAATCTCAAAAAGGGTAAGTTAAATTATGTCCTTTTTTATAATCTTACAGAAATCCTCCACACTAGAAAGGGTTAATATTTCTTACGTCTGTATGCTTCATACCACAGTAAGAACATGCCCAAAGAATACACTCTAGGTTAATTTATCCTTATAGGCTTGAAGTTTCCAGAGGTGTCAAAAAAAATGTGTTTCAAAATGTGCTCTCAACCCTGAGCTGAATCTCATCCCCACATTTTTTTTTTGATGCCCTCCCTCCCCTGAGCAGTGACTTCAGAGCCTCCCTCCTGCAGCGCTCATAACGCACCGGAGCCTCGGAAGTTTTCCGGATAGTATTTCATCCCGACCCTTTCTTTGTGGGGTGAAGATTATGTATTGAGATTCAAATGATCCCCTCTGATGGTGGCTGGTGTGAGTAAGCAGCTTGCTGATGTCAGACAGCCGCCGGTACCGCGCTGCTGCCGCTGCTCTCCTCACTTTCTCCAGTGCCTGCATCCACGGGAGTAGCTTATTTCAGCCTCTGCTCCAGCACATCCAACTGAGCTGAGCCAGTCCGACCCGAGCCAAATCCTCGCCCCGGGGAGAGAAAGGTAACATTGTTCATTTATGTGAGTGTTTTACTGCATGAAATATGTTTAGATAGGAGCCGGTTACTCTCACCATCAGTGAATGGAGTGTAACAATGTGCTTCTTTAACCGCCTTTGGCTCACTCCTGTGCATGTTGAGGCACACATTGGCTGTAGTTCGTATACTGTGTGCATCGTCCCGGTCACAGTTTGGTAGCAGCATCCGTGTGATGGATGGTGTTTGCCGGATGAGCTTCAGAATAACTACAGCCTGTGTGACACACTGTTTGTCTATCCACTAAGTGCGGACCAAATGAAGTACGAGTACCGACACTGATTTTATCTAAGTGTGCGCCCCTGTGCGCTTGTTTTATGGAGCCAAGATGAGGGGAGAAAAGCCTGCCCGATCATTCTCTGTAAGTTTCCCCCACAAAGTCAACATTTTTGGAGAAAAAGCGAACATTTTAGGTATTTTGTGCCACATTAGTTCGTGTGGGTGGAGACTGACGTGTGATGGCAGACTGAGGTGTTGAGCCGGATTTGAACTCTGGATGTCGCGAGTAATTATGGTTACAATTACACGGTGTGCGTCTTAAGCCCCGAGACTGTTTTTACGAAAGCCCCGGGACGAAGCAACACAGTGTGGGATAATTTGGGGATGTTATTGTAGGGCGGAGTAATCCTTTTTATCTGGATGTGACAGAAATAGTAGCATATATTTGAAATGTAAATGATAAAGTATAAAAAAGACATGATGTGAGCACTCTTAATGTGATTGACAGGTGTTAACACCTATTAAAGTTTGTGTATGTGTTTGTAAACTTGGCTGCCTATATTCAAAGCAATTGTGCTCATATTTTTTATCATACTACAAATATGTAGATGTCCCTCATGTTGACATTGGATACAAATATATTCTTAAATTATACTTGTGACTTGTACATTTGTCCGACGTTGACTTTATGTTCATTTTGAAGAATCACTCAATCACATGCACAGAAATGCCCTTCATAAAAAAGGTAATAATCTTGGGATTGGACATCAAAAGCATTTCTCTGTCTCCAGCACTAGTTTTGTATTTCTTTCATCTTTGATCATAAAAGCTTCGTAAATCTTGGTGTTCATGGCTCATTTCAGAATGGATTTGAAGATCTCCGGAAGCTTTAAATGGTTTATTTTGTTTGTGTTTTAAAGGTGACGAAGGTGAAATATCTTTCCTTTCCAAATGGGCATGGAGCGACATCCTGCCTCACATAGATTTTCCTCTGAAACGAATTCCGTGTTGTCATTGGGCAGGACGTTTCACTGTTATCATCCGGCATTTATTTAAAATAGCTCCAAGTCATTTTCATGGACTGTTATCCTGCAGTACCTACGCTAAAAGATAATTTCCCTCAGAATCCAAAAGCCTAGCACAGTATATCCACTTTTTCTTCAGGCATTCAATTTGATGTGATGATAGGATTGCATGTCTTTCAATCTCAAAGACCGCTGCAAAACATCTGAAAATGTAAAGAAAATAGGCATATTTTCCAAACATATGGGTTTAATAATGGCTAATATCATGTGTTGCTCTTTGTGACTAGTTTTGTTCGAAGGACGCTGTGTTTCTTGGGGCTTCACACTGTAGTGAGCTATAATTGTGAAAGAGGCTAAAAGGATTACAAGGATGTTCTATTGTCACTGCCTCTCAACATCTACATGCCTCCTGGTCATGTTTTATGTTATACATTTTCCACAATCTCCCTCCAGCTATGATTTGGAGAATACAGATTAAATCTCAAAACATCATCCAATTTCAATGTCCTTTTATTTATCCTTAAGAGGACAGTGTCACTGTCTCTCGTATCAGATAATGGAAAGGCTGTTTAACCTTATCATCTTATGTAGCTTACAGAGGAACTAAAATGACCTCTTTATTCACAACAACTGTGTTTTACATGTTTGATTTGAATTTCTTTTTTTTGTTTGTGTCATTTAACTAATTTAACTATTTATTAGTATTTTTATTTTTATTTCATTAAAGAGTAATGTTACACCATTTTTTTAATCGTTAGGCTGGTTTGGTCAAGTTTGCATTTGTGCAGATAATGGGCATTTGACCCATCCTCAACTTCAGCTTTCTTATTCAGCTATTTATACTGAAGTAACTAGTTAGACTTTTTATACTTTAGCTCTTTAATTTAACATGACCTTTTCAACGGTTTATTACGAACATAGCTAACATTTAAACCATTTATCCAATAATTTCAGCACTGTAGATAGCCACTCTTGCTGACAATTTGAAGGGTTTATCCATGGCTTTTAGATAACTTGAGACTTCTCTACTTCCTTTGCTAAGCTCCAGTACTTCTAGTAACTCTGGTATCCCTTTGGAATACAAGTATGCACAGTGTAGTGGCTATTTGTCAACAACAATAAAACTTCAAAAGGCCACTGAGGCACCAGGTATAGTGGATCTTACGCAGATCATGAGTTGGTAATGAGTCCATTGTCCAGACAAGGCATCAACGTTTTTGTGGTATTTATTAGCTTCACCTTGGCAAGAACAATAAAGCAAAAGGTGTTGAAATGTTTGCTGAACTCAGCCCTGATACTGGTAAAAAACCATAGACCTTCCCGGTGCCCTATCGGCTGCAGCTGTGCCCTGATTGACTTAAATAAACCCAGCGATTAATTAAGGACATTTGTCACATTGCCAACAGGGAAGGACTCAGTGCTGTACATTTGAGTAATGACGAAAGAGACACCATCGTCTTGTATCTACTGTTGTCTTACTAATAAGTACTAGTGCGCACGAAAGTCCTTTATTGTCGTAGGGCTGGATGCGGTCAGTGCAAGCACACCAACATTGTATTTCTTTTGAGAAGCAGTCGCTCTGATCGCACATTACCGTACGTCGATCCAACCATCCCAACATTCAAGAGATGTCGCAGAACTAATCCTCAGATACTTCTGGGCCCCGTCTGACATTGTCCCCCTAACTGTAAAACAGTCTAGTTGACAGAGGACTAATGTTTTTTTTTACCGCCACCTTGTTCTACTTTTTGCTCCGGCTCTGTAGGAATTGTGTCTAACCGAAGGGCGTCGGTGATGTACGTATTTTATCTACGCGATTAAGGTTTATGTACAAATCCTAAGAGTCTCTCCTCTACTTTTGTTTGGTACTCTTTTGCGAGGACCGGAACTTTGCAAAACTCATAATCCCTAGTTGGGAAGTGGTGATCGTTTTTGATACATCTGGATTCGGGTCTTTTGTTACGGTCTACAATGTAATTTTACAGATCTAACGGAAAAAAATAACCACCGAATAGAATAAAAAAAAAAAAAAAAAAAAGAAAAAAAAAAAATACGGGTTACTGAGGGTGACCCCCAAACGTTTGTCCCCATTTCTGTAGGTCTATAACATCTAGTCCCATTGTCACCAAATGCGGGGGCCAACACCAGGAAAATATGCTCACGACCCGAGCTATGTAGGTGCCCCGTGAGAAACCAGCTGGACCTCGGCGAAAGGCTAGAATAAATAAATCTCGGATATATGAAAAATCGACCTAACTACCTAAGTCAGTACCAGAACAAAATAGTCTCTGCTTCAACTTTTGCACTCACCGTCCGAGTCATTGCAGACGGTTGACACAGTGCTCCTTTATGACTTAAAATTGGAGATAGCCAAGATAACAAAGTTATTGAACCAAGACAAGATCTTATTTCTCTCGTAGACTCCAACAAATTGAAGGCACAATGTAACTTTGTTATTTCATTAAATTACCCATTAGACTAAACTTTACTACCGTTACCACCGTTCTCTGTTCAGCGTGGGCTACGCCAACATACTTACAGTAGTTTGATAATGAAAAAAAAACTATCATCTCCTGGGGATTCTCCTCTGTATACCTGTATGACACACACCCTTCGCTTAAAAGTCATAAAAAGTGTAAATCAAATTACATAAATAACAATAAAAACCACAAAACATCTAATGTAATTAATCGAGTATAAATAAATCAATTCAACACAAGGTCGATTTTACAAAATAAAACTTTCCACTACGCGAGTTAA